TAATTTTAACTATAGATACTTCTTTTAACAATATTTTAAAATGATAAAATATTTTTATTGCAGAACTTTAGACTTGATTTTCAATCCATGCAGCTCAGCACAAGAATTACTTTTATAGTTGACAATTTAAATTTGAGTAGATGCTGTTTACCTAGTAGGATATATTTGTTGCGAAATTAATAACTCGAATCGAGTCCATGTAGTTCAAATGGGAGAGCATTATCAATATGTAGCTAATAACTCGAGTTCGAGTCTTAATTTTATCCGGCCTTTTTTGTGGTACTACAGGCAATTCCGATCCACAGTGTGGCGGCAGAAGTGGGAGTGATTGGAGGACTGGTGATGGAGATCATCATCACATTCGCATTGGTTTACACCGTGTATGCAACCGCAGCTGATCCGAGGAAGGGTTCATTGGGGACAATAGCACCAATTGCTATTGGCTTCATTGTTGGTGCCAACATCTTGGCTGCCGGTCCATTCTCCGGTGGTTCCATGAACCCGGCCCGATCTTTTGGACCTGCCGTGGCCAGTGGAAATTTCTGTGGCATCTGGATTTACTGGGTTGGCCCTCTTGTTGGTGGAGGGCTTGCTGGTCTAATTTATGGAAATATATTCATTTCATCATCCCACCAATCCTTGCCCTCTGATTGCTAACGAGTCACTTTACTATTTATTCAACTTTGGTTAATCAATTTCTCTTTGTAATAAAAGAAAGGAGAGTAGGTTTCCTATTATTCCTTTCTTTTGTTTTTTGTGTTTTTTAATTTTTGCATATCATTTTCTAGTTTCCGATTCCCTTGTTTTATTTTAAAGCTTTTAATTGAGTTTATGGAAGTGAATGGATTGAATTTGTTTGTCATTTTCCTATATGGTGCTTTTTTTTTTCTTTCTTTTTGCGTTTCGGTCCAACTTGTGCAATAATTGAGGAGTATAATTTGACCCATTCAATCATTCATTGTTTTTACTTTTTAAAATTGTTTGTTTGGTACACTTTTTATTTGACATTTTTATAATTATGTGTTCTACTTGAATTATTGATACTTAAACAAGAGTAATACATATCATACCATACCATATCATGTAATATTCTTGTATTCTCTAAATAACATATTTAATAAACTACTTCAATTACATTATTCATATACTGATTTTCTACTCAATTTACTTTTCTACCAAAAATTCAATTTTAATTGCACACGAATAAACTAAATAGATCAGTGGAATATGAAGAGGATATGTTTAAGTTTCACCCACATAATTTACCTTCAAAATGTAGTATTGGTTTCACTTATTTACCAAGTAAATACATTTGATTATTTTTCAACTAAATCACTTCTACATATTGGCATTCATTATAGTGTTGATTAACCATATAAGTCTGCTTTAACCATCCAATTTATTGATCTTGCCCAATTTATTCTATTATAGTGATTTATTTTTTCCTGGATGTGTTATAGTTTAGTCCAATGTATAGAGCCTATTTTTTTTTTTGCTTGGTGCTTGCAATTTTTCTCTTTATTTTATTCACAGAAGATAATTATCTAAATAATCAATAGTGCATAAAATTATAAACATATTTGATAAGTGCGAGATTTAATATTAATCATCTAATTTGAAAATTTTATTAAAAAAAAAAAAAAAAAAAACTTTTCAAGTCATGCTTAGATTTAATAATTAATAATTATTTTTTTTTGAAGTGATGGTAAATTATATATATGGTTGTAGTTGTAGTTGTAGTTGTTGTTGTTATTATTATTATTATTATTATTAATTTTTCCTTTTACATATTTTTTTTAGTTTCTCCTTTATTACCATTATATTTTGGGCTGACAAAAATTGACAAGTTATAAGTTGGAAAATCCAAAGGTTTCTTATAACTAGATTTAGCCACATATGCAGTACACTTGTGTGATTTAACTAATCCACAACAACTTGCCTTAAAGGTTTTCTTTTATTTGAAGAATATGTACTCAATTTTAGATGCACCTGAGAATTTTCCCACATTAAACATATGTTAATATTTTGTTAATTAACATAACACATTACATGTCCTTTTGATAACAGGTTTAGAGAATTCCTTCTAATCATGAACTAAACTTGCTCTATTGGCTACTAAAGTCTTCTCTAACTCTGATATTATTAAATATCATACATTATAATTCGTTATTATTTCTGATTAAAATTTTCTATCTCTATATGATCAAAATTTAGAGAGTATCTTTAATATTTTCCTTTTAAAGTCTACTAAGCTTTTATTACCATTAATGCTCGAAGTAATAAGTTCATATTCTAACTAACATATGACATATAGTAATTTGTACTTGAAAGTTTCATCTTATCAAATTATAAATATTTACCTTTGTTTTATGTCAATATTTTTCTTTGGAGGAAAAGAATGAACTTCATTCATCTAGCAACCAGGTAAAATTGATCTTGAGCTAAAATAGAAACCAAGAAAGGAAAATGTTCATAAGTTATAAAACTATCGTTTATAGTAAAAAGTGCCCATCTAACAAGAGAACGAGAAACTAGATTACAGTTCTAGAATTCTAATAAAAACTAATAAAAAGAAAACAATGGTTTAGCAAATAAAATATAGTCAACAATTAACCTAATATCAGAATAAAGATGTCTCCTTGGTTTAGTAATCACATCAAGCTTTAAGAGTCTCCCTCAACTTTAGTCGATTGTACCCTCCCCATTTGCTACCTGTAAACCAAACAATATAAAGATGTCTCCTTGGTTTAGTAATTGCATCAAGCTTTAAAAGTCTCCCTCAACTTTAATTGATTGTACCCTCCCTATTTTGCTGCATGTAAACCAAGCAATATATGCTTATGCTTCAGCAAGCTGTATAGATGATGTGTTGGTCCTTGCATACAAGAAGAAACCACCTCCCCCAATAAATTTTTAACTACAACAATGTAACATCCCGACCCTATCTTTAAGGAGTAAAGACGTTTCTGTCATTAGATTAGATCTGTATTTAATTATAATATTATGTTGTCTTATTTGTCAATATTATTGTTGTAAATAGTTAGCTTAATTATTGGCATAGGTAGAGTTAAAATATTTGACTTACTAAATTAAGCATAATCAACTTAATTAGAGACATATATTCAAAAAATATTTTTATATTTAATAGAGAAAATACTCTCAAAGATGGGCATTCAGTGTAAACAACATAATTGTCATGGTATCAGAGCCTAAAATTCAAACTAGGTTCATTTTGTCTGGAATTTAGTCTTTTTAATTTTCTGTGGTAGTTGGCTTGGTCTTATATCAGAAGGTTGATCCTTCTCTTTCGATTTTGTTTGGCAATGCTTTTTGGACACCTTTGGAGTGCGATTTATGGGTAAAAATTATTTTGCCTGGGAGTTTCAGTTTCAACTATTTGTTACTGGTAAGGATTTATGGGGTCATATTGATGGTAGTTCTCCCACACCTATAAATATTAAAGAACTAGCTCAATGGACTGTAAAAATGCACATGTAATGACATGTGTAATACTCAGACTCGAAATTTAGTCCGGAATTAATTTTAAAAATTAAAATTAATAAATAAAAATATAATTTTAAATTTATAAATTTTTATTTAATGTAAAAATTAGGAAAAAATAGGTGTAGGATGAAATTGAAAATAATTTTGGGAAAAAAAGGGTGAAAATTTGGGTTCGGGGGGTATTTTTTTTTAAAAAAAATCAGAAATTAGAGGTCAAAATACAATTTAAGAAAATGTGCCACGTAGGATTGCCTAGTCAGCAGCTCCGACGAATCGGAGTGCACCGGTGGCGAGGCACGCTGACTCGGTGCCACACGGGCAATCTGCGTGCCCACGATTGGACGGTCCGGATTTGTTCCCACGCACATGGACGGTCCGGATTTGTTCCCGCGCACGTGGACGATCCGGATCCGTTTTTTCCTTAGGCGCGTTCGGATTGTCACGATTAAACGCGATGAACGATCCAGATTCGTTCTCTTTTTAAACGCGATCGTACAATCCAAATCAAATCGCGATGAACGGTCTAGATTTATTTTCTCTTTAAATGCGATTGGACGGTCGAGATCAAACGCGATGGACGGCTAAGATTAAAGGGAGACAGGTATAAATATCTCACTTTACATCAAACCCTAACCCTAGCTGCCAGCTCTCAGCTGGAGAAGAAGAACCAGTCCCCGGAGAAGGGAACTGACTGCCGCTCGCCGCTGCGTCGGAGCTACCTCCGACTGCCAAAAAAGGTAAAATTTTTCATTTGCTCGAAATTTAATTTTGAACACCCTCATGACCAAATCGGAGCAAAAGAACTGGAGGATGAGTCAAAAATCGCGGGTAAAACTCAGTGGCGCCGCTGTAGAAAAAATAAAAAACCGTCTCTGATGAGGCCCTTCTTGATTCCCGTTTTGTGCAATTTTTTCACAATTATATTTACCAGTTTATTTTTCAAAGGTTGACAGAAGAAAAAGCCCAAATGCGAAGATGAGCCGGCGGAGCTGCCGCACTGAAAAACTGCTCTGCCATTAGGTTTCTGTTTTTTTTTTATTTTTTTGGGTCAACCAAGGCCTCTTAATGTGTTTTCTTGTAGAGATGAGTATAAAATCGGTTGAAATCGGCCAAAACTAGCTGAAAACAGCCAGTTAGAGGCAAACTACCACCATGGGCGGTGGTGCTGTCGCCGAAGCACGGCGATGCCGCTGTGCGGGAATTTTAAAATTGACCAAAAAAGGGTTTTTAACAATGATTTTAGATTTTTTGGGTATTTTTAGGTACTTGAAGCATGTTTTAATCTATGAAGAAAAATTCAGGGAACCCGGGGACCGTCAGTAGGCGCAGCTGAGAGTTTAGTATTTTGGATACCAATTCGGGTAAAAATCTCTCACCCTATTCCCTGTTATAGAATTGAAGTCTAATTATAAATAATATAATATTTTGCGTAATTTAGAAAACTTCAATAATTAATTACAGGTTACTAGTGGAGCCGGAACCGATTATTTATAATTATTTATCCTATTTTAACTGATTGATTAATTTTATAGTTTTAAATGTATAATAATACGTTGGAGTTGGTAAGATGATTCAGTTGTGTTTACTTGATGTATGTATTTTATGTTTTGCGTGATTTACAGTTAAATTGTGAAACTGAAAATTAAATGTAAGTGAAAAATTGCTTGATTAAGTGAATGAATGAATGGTAGCCTTACTGAATATCCTGAGAGATGGTGGACGGACCGGGTGCATAGGAAATCTTATCGTGAATGTTGCCTCATACCGGACGGGGTATCGAGAATTGGTATTTTGGCACTCATATCGGATGGGGTATGGGGATGACTCGTTTCACCCTCATATCGGACGAGGTATTGATGGATGATATTTTTGGCACTCATATCAGACAGGGTATGGGGACGGTCGGTTAGTTAACAATGTTGAATAAGGATTCACGCGTAGTGAAGCCTATGGACACTCATGGATACCAATAGGCAAATAAAAAAAGAAAGTTATTATTCTGGCTAATTAAAAATGAGATTATGATATTATTTGTGTTATTGCCTTTATAAGTTGGTTTTAGAAATCTCGTTACGGTAAATATGTAATAAATGATTTTATTTTTGATAAATAAATTTATTTAAATTAAGAGCTCCATTAATTATTTTTATGATTTTTACCGACCTTTATTTCTGTATCGGTGAGTAGTGTGACATTTTTAATGGGTTAGTGTAACTCACTCTTTCATTAACCATTTCAGATCAAGAGAACCAAGATTCAGATCCGATCCACAAGAGGATTGCGAATAGGATGCCTAGTTGTTTACTTTTCATTTATTTATTTGATTTTTCGTTTGTTCTTTTAGAAGGGTAATTCCCGTAATCCTA